AGAGAGAGAGAGAGAGAGAGAGAGAGAGAGAGAGAGAGAGAGAGAATCTTTATCATTCAATTTACCCTAAATCATTGTACGTTTTGTCATTATTACAATTAAAAGAAATACGTATACATATAACTTTTTTTCTGTAACAATACAATTTATAAAGATTCACATATAAGTGCGACATTTGGCGACTAAGGCCCAATTTCACAACTCACGGTTAATTCTTAACTGAGGTTTAATTTATTCCTCAGGTTTTTCCAATTCTCGAATTCTCGGGTTGTGAAACTGGGTCTAAACGAGAGTCTTCATTATTACAAGTAATTTTTTGCTACAGTAAATTGTACTTGTTCTTTTTTTCTTTTCCCTTTTTTTTCAAGAAGCTAAAACTGATGAAGTCGATTGTGTCAATTGTTGTCTGTAGAGCCAAGTGATCAAAGTTAATGCCACGTTCAACGCGTATCTCATGAGTAACGAGCCAGTGGTTGAAAAGGAAACGATGCCCGTCTCGATGACAAGACACCTCGTTATGGAAGATGACATGAAGGAGTATTGGGGATTCTATCTTTTGCATGGCAGTAGTGTTACTGTTTCAACTTGTGTAAGGTAGAATTATAAAAATGGGGGCTCGTTATCTTGTAATAAATATAACAGTAATTTAATTATTTACATTATTCTCTCTATTGTATTATTAAGACATGAATGCTTCACTGTTTTTAGATGGCCAGGTGCTTCTTTAACAATAATCCGTGGCTTCAAAAATCTTCATGAGTGCGCTTTTATCGGAGATGACAGCAGCGAGGAACTCGAGGAACTCGTTGAAATCGCTAAGGAAGATGGTCTTCTTGATGTAAAGAGCACTACGGAGGTATTCTTTCTCTCAAAGATAAATTTTTCTTTTCAAAGATATTATATTATATAACATAATATATAACACTTTTATTTAAGCTATACTTTTTTGTTACAGGGAGTGCGTCTCAGCAATGTACCTGACAAAATGAGACGAGCAGACCAGAACATACATTTTCATCATGAAGATAAAACTCTTCGTTTGAATATTTCTAACTCATCTAAACATCAAAGCAGTCACGAGTTGGACCCTGAAACGATGCGAAATATTCTTACTCAGCTTTTGGCCAAGACCGATCATACAAAGAAAAAGCAGAAAAAAAATCTGCATCATCATTATGAAGCAGTCTTTAGGGATATCATCAATGTGGATAAACCAGTAACAAATGAGACAACTCATCCTAGAAATTTACAAGACCAACTTCAGAAAGAATCAATGAACAGATTTGATAATAAAAAAAATATATCAGAAAATGGTACAAAGTGCGTTATTTTTCTTACTGCAAACTAAAAAAAATCTTTGTAATTATATCTTAATAAATATTTTAATCCTTTTTTCACTTTTATTAAAAAAGTTGAAAGATTAATATTAAATATATTATTAATTAAACTTGATTCTACAGAGATTGCAATCAATTTTCTTTATTTAATTTTTCTCTTTATAATTGAAAATTGTGTATTCAATTGTTTCAGATTCACACCGTTACCTTCAAAAATACCAGTTTCTTTTCAAAAAGAGCAGTACAACTACAATAAATCTGAGAGCGAACAGAATTCCACGTTTTCGCCTAATCTGCGTCCAAATTCCACAATACCTATCAGCAAGCAAATGGAATCGGCACAAGAAATCATGAAGGAGCAAGAAGATTCAAAAGCCAAACTGCAGACAAACTCTGAGGAAGTGTTTCAAGATGTTTTGCGAAAAATCAATTCGTTAGGTGATCGCGGGAAACAGATATTGCATAAATTAATGGATACGATTGACATGCAAACCGGCGCCAAAGGTGCTGCGTTAAAACAATTGGTGAACGACACGATGAATGATAAGAAATTATCGAGAGAAGCTAAACGGCGAAGGAGAAGAGACTTAGTGCTTTCATCGCCACTTTATCAAGAATTAACAGAGGAAGATGAAGATGGCGACGCAGCGATAGAAGAGGTAAAATTTTTATTCCGTACTCCTTGTGTTTTATTAATGAAAATGTAATAAATTAATTATTATATTACTCTCTAGAATAATTTATATAGGCATTTCTATAACAACAAATTTTAATAAATTTTTATTTGAATAGTACTATATAACTAAATATTTTTACTAAATGTGTATGTGTAAATATATTTATTTGTTACAATTAAGAATCATTTATTTGATTTAAGTATCACTTTTTATGGAGTATTATAAATATTCATTTATTGTAAGTAAATGTTCAGCTGGTATTATTCAAACAAATGTTTATTAAAATTTTGTAAGATTTTAATATACATATATTTATTGTTAAAACAAGGTGATTTTTATACACCAGGAGCAAGAAAAAATTAAGTAATAATAGTATTTTCTTTATTTACTGATCATAAATCCATACAAGTTTAAAAAATTTGTTTTTCCGTCATATATTTGCGAAATTGTGTTTGTAATGAGATACAGTATAAATCACATAATGATATTTGATCAATCTTATCTATGATTATCTCTATAGATATTATGAAGTAATATTTTCTTCCAAAGTGCAAATATGATTCTCGCTTATTTGTCATTCAAAATTTATTTTTAAGTCTGATAAGCTTACAGTAAAATATATTTGATTGCCATGTTAAATTGAGGCAACATAAAAAACATTAAAGTATGTCAATTTTCTTTCAGGATATGTTGCATCCAGATGGTATTGCGGAAGATCGAGGTACCGTAAACGAAACAACTTTAAACGATAGAAGTAATTCCGAGTTTTGGAGCTCGTTTAGCAGTTCTGAAGAACGGCTATTGGAATGCAAAGGTCTTATCCTGAATTTACCTTTAACACCACATCGGTTTTGTACACCCAAACACGAAAGTGATCATTCTACGGCTTCCTTCGCCAATACGGTGACATATAGGTAAGTGGAAAAGTTATTGCTTGCGTTAATTGTCTGTTTAAAAATAAGAATGGATTTATTTGATTATTAATTCACTTTTATTAATTATTTCTAATTATTGGCCTTAATTAAAGTTTTATGAGTTTTTCAGAGAGAGAGAGAGAAAGAGAGAGTAATTCAATTTAAATAAATACTTTTTTTAAAATGTACATACAACTGTTTTATGTTAATTGTACACACATAAATATTTTTATAATATACATATATTTATTATATTTTATAATATACATACGTATTTTTATAATATATTTTATATTATTTGATTGTAGAGTACCTCTAAATGGATATTACTTCTTTGTCTTTAATTCGGAAAATGAAATTCAACCTAATTACGTAAGAGTGAAATTTGACCTTTTAAAGACTGTTTACAATACCTCAAATCCCGTGCACGCATGTAAAAATAGCACAAAGGAGTGCTCATTACCGTTTAAAATATTCAGTAATGAAAGAACAGTATTAGAATTACCATTAAGTGGAAATGATTCGCAATGGAATGAAGAATATATTGGTGTGTCTGTTTGTGAACCGAGAACAATGATTTACACCATTTGTGTTATCATGGTGCCCTTGCTGATTCTTTGTTTCGCTTTTCATTAGCAGATTTATCGATACTACTTATGTACGTAACACACATTTCACATTAGTGTATGATTAATAATATCGTTATTACACTAAAGTTATTTGAAAAAAAAGGATGATAATACTAATACAATAATAATAATTTAGAACTTTTTATATTAATATCTGGATATTAGTTTTACATCCTTCTTTAATTTAGTCAAATAATAAATACGTATATTTTTAGTTTATCAGTTAATTGCTTATTTGTAAAATTTGGTTCGATCTAGTTATAGTACTATATTTATATGAATCCTTCATGCTGTGATTGTACTTTTTTAGGTAACCATGTGTACAGATTTTTGTCAAATATTTCTATTAAATTATAATATATGCATATATTTATAGTAAAACTATATAAATAAGTTTTGACAGATGTGCGGGCGTTGCCAGAATCAGTTATTCAATATTCAATTTAAAGAAAAAGGGCTAATAAGGTTATTTATTGGCCTCCAATCGATTTCCTTCAAACAACTTTTTTTTCTATTGCATAATCATTAGAAATGTTAAAAATAATCATTATGTGAAAGAAAAATCCATAAAGCCCTAATTAATTATTAGTCTAAATATATCATTTGATATTTATAATTTTTTCATGACTAATATAAACTAATAAAATATTAAAAATATTGTTTATAGTATTAAAAATCTTTTAAATCATTTTATACTTATTGGTCAAATTTTTTCTTACATAATGATTATATATACATGTATATATTAATTTTTGGACATTTCTCATGATCATACAATACAAAAAATTCAGCTTTATTGACCCTCCTCTTTGCTTAAATTAAATAATTAATAATTTGATTTAAATAAAGATGTTTGATAAATCACAGAAAGAAAGAGAAAGAGTGTTATCCAATAATAAAATATTCTCAACTATATGTAATGCTTGACCTGACATAAAATAGGGCTTTCTATATTTTTATAATAGAATAATTAATGTTGTCATATATTTGATTAATTTTATATACATACTCGGGAATCTATTTTTCTAAAATTTATTCGAACTTGTTGAATAATTGTATTCTCTCATAATTGTATTCTACTCATTTAGTAAAAAAAATACTATGACAATAAATCTGATTTAAATCGTACTTTACAAATGTTCGCACATTCTAATAGAAGTTTTATAGTATTTTATATATATACATATAGTCATACAATTATTGAATTCTATTGTACATGTAGATAATTGTAGGAAACCATTTTGAAATTGTCGGAAGAAGCTGTGATCGAAATTCGGTGATTCTGTAATTCAATTGACGGATCGCTAAATTATATGTATCAAAGGCTGAGATATTACGATTAGAAAAGTTCCGATTATAAAGAGTATAGATTTAAAAATTATATTTTCATTATATATATATATACACATAGATATATATACAACTAAGATTATACGTTACATAATTGTTACTAACTATTGCAAATACTCTAGATGACATGTGATTTATATTTGTGCATCGGGTGATACAAGGTTGTGATTTGATGAGATATCACATCTATTACTGTAAAACTTTGACCATGAAGTTGATTGTAAGATTGAAGTTAATTACTGGACAATTTTAGAATTACATAAATCGAAATACGTTGCTGGATATAAATTGAAATACGTTGTAAACTTAATTGGTGAATTGTGAAAATAAAATCTGTTAAACAATTGCATTTAAATATCGAATTTACTTAGATTTTATCAATAAATCTTGATGTGTCCAGAAGCTAAAAAATAATTAATAATAGTATCGAGAATAGTTATATTATTTTATTATATGGATATATGTACATTACAATCCCCTAAAATCTATTTATTATTCGCCGATATTAAATGCATTGTAATTTATATGAACATATTTACATCATTAATTTTGAAATCTTTTATTTTTATAAAAAAAATGTGGTAAAATATTGTATTGTAATACTTCACCTCTTGCGTCGTATAATTATCTTCAAAATAATGTTTTTTTACTTTAACTTCATCATAATTGTTGGTGCAGAGGTAACTCTCGTGACATTGTAATATCATTTACGATTCAACGTAGAGAGTTAATATTCATTCTAAATGTTTTACATATACGCGCGTTTCGATGATCGATATGTCAGCGGACGCAAGTGCCACACGTGGAAAACAAACACTAATAATGGGATTAGCGTGGGGCGACTGGTTGACGGTGATAACGAAAATTGATTTCACCCTTCGCGTCCCCCTCGACCTCCCTATGGCACGGGGATGCTCCAGTCGAGCGCGTTGACGTTCATGGGACGCTGCGTCGCTGCGCAAAACTAGCGACACGCCTCTCTCCCACTGGCACACCCCGACGAGACCCCAATAAGCCACACGTGCCCGATAGAATACCGATTTAACTCATTCAAGAAATGATTTAACTCTGTTAACGGAAATCAATTGCCCCCTCACATTCCACTAAACAAAAGTTATATAGGGATGTGGTATATATACTGAATCGTTATAAAATTATAGCACGAATCTACATATGAAAATATTTCACCAGGAAAGAATCTTGAATTCTATAAATACACAGAAAGATATTGATAGACAGAGGAAGATATTAAAAAAGGTCTTCTCTATAAAAAGAGTTCACGAAAAAAATTAAACACTTTTTTAACATTTCAACGACGGTTTTTAAGTTAAATTTCTGCTAAAATGTAATTTTACATAATTTATATAATTACAAAAATTATAAAACTAATTCGTAAATATTAATCCAATAACAAAAACATATATCATCTGTATTGATGTACTAAAAAAAAAAAATAATAATTTGAAGTTAAATATTATAATTTATGAAGTACATATAAAGACGTTGTCAAACAATAAAATGTTAAAGAAGCAGCACTAAAAAAAAACAGGTAATCGTTTTTTGTATTATAAAAAATTATCTTATGACTAATTTACTTTAATTTAATTACAATTAACTTTAAATTTGACATTTCATGCTATCTTCGTCACCATCGTGATATTTCATTGAAAAAGAATAAATAGAATTTCTTGTTCAACTCAATATTTAGCTATTGCAACAATATTCTAAGATGGCTATCTAACGGTGACACTCATATACAAGTGAAAGTGCTGCTGAGATTTCGAGCAGAACGCTATTGAAACGAGGAGATGGAGGCTGCGCGAGTGTTCGCTGCTGATAAGGGATGCCCCGCCCTGCAGCCCTCTCACAGCAGTTACCCTCCCGCGTCCTCACGTAAAATTGTAGGGTCAAGTTGTTGGAGGGCCGGCAATGGCGTGAGATATTAATCTTGGGGATTAAACGGACAAATCGACGGAAGATTAATTTTTAAGGTGCCGTAAAGAGAAAGAATTACCTCGACGTTTAATTAACAGTTACGCTACGTCGTTCTGTAATTAATCTTAGCTTTTAATTTTTTACGGGCTCTGCCATGTTTTTTACGCGCGGACGAATTTGGAAATAAATATACTAGAGAATTATAGTATTGTGTCGGAATTTTTATATCTACTTATATATTGTATTGTTGATGTACTGCGTGAACAATCGTATTTATAATCATGTTTCTGCGATATCTCTAAATTTATATATAACACATTTGTATTACAAATATAAATCTTTCGCCTTTATTCTGTCGATATTAATGTTTTTTTGATTTTTATCTAAAAATTAGAACCGCGATAAGAGTCACGTGAGTCAATCTCATGAGGCGATGGCAATATTAATACCTTATTCTTATTCATTGACACGCGCAAATTGGCCGCGAGTTGCCAGGCCTGTGGGAAACCGCTACAAATATCCCCTATTAAATTCTATGGGGCACCCTAGGGGTGCCTCTTTGTCGAATTTACTGTAATGTGACTTTTGTTGGACTGGTTATTTTTCAAATTTTCTCTGTGTATATTATTGTATGTAAAAGGAATAATATTGAATTTTATGCCACTATTGTGTTGAAAATAATATTACACTTATACAAAATTGAAAAAAAGATTTTAATTAAATACATACAATAAATAACCAAATATATCAAAACATAGCGACTTAATTAATCAAACAAACAATTTTACAAAAACAATTTTATTGTAGGATAAAAAAATAATGATACATCTATAAAATAATTTCAACTATACGAGATCTTAAGACGCGCGCGTGTTCATTTTTTTTTATAAAAAAAAGAGAATAATTTTTATGAAAAAAATTGATAAATAAATTAGATATCTCTATCGAATGATAATATTTTCTAATTTTAATTGAAAAAGATTATCCAGAATAGATGTTGAATTTTTTAAATATAACATGTACTTTTTTCATTTCGTCATATTTGAATTATACAAGATGAAACAAAAATCTTTTATCTTAAATATTTTTTCTGAAAATGTTTGAGTTTGAAATAAATACATCGATCTTGAAAGTAAATGAAAAGAATTAACTCTATTGTGATGAAAAATTCAATATCTGGGGATAGTCCATTTCTAATCAAAACCGAAAGTTGAAAATAATACCAAGTTAATAAAGTATACCCAATTAACTTGTCGAAATTTTTCAGATTTTTTTTTTAAAACTTCCTTTTTATTAAATAGGATTATAATAGGTGGTCTGGGACATCCTATATATACATAAGACATAGTACATAATGGTTAACCAAATATTCTTGGAAAAGGTGTATCGATACTTAATTATTAATATAAAATTGGCATTCGAAAGTAATGATAAAATTTGCATAGTCGCATCACGCCAGGATCGCGTAGAGTCACACAGAGAGTAGAAAGATGAAATGGGTGATGCATTCAAGAAGATTTTTCCCAAACAATCAACTTTCGATTAGCTGGATTCGATGGGCATAAAAAACGAAGCCTGCTTAGTATACATTAAGGGTGAGAGAGCAGCACTACCCCCCGTTGTCAAGTGGCCACCAGTTATGGGTTGTTTTATTGTGACACCTCGGGAGGGTGCTACAGATTTTCCAGTAGGATGCATCGGGGTGTCATCGTCGGAGCTTGATTAGATAATATCATTCATGATGCTCATT